ATATATTAAGATTAAAAAATTGATCATCTTGTAGAATTTTCGTTTGATGAACACGGCTGGTGCATCTGGTTGGTCTGACTTACTTCAAAATGTTATCAATAGTAATACTGAACCAAGTAAGTTTGTTTGTTGATGGTGTTGTACATTAAAATAATAATTTTTTTAATGCTTCTCACGTTATGCATTTTTTGTAGGTAAAAAATCAGGGTAGAAAACGGTGATTTCCCAGGTGCAGATGCAAAATTTTACAACCAAAATTGGTCTTCGGTTGACTATAAAGGGCGTTCAGGCAATGTCTCAGTTGGAGATGCAAAATTATTAGTGAAGTCTGAAATTTTGACATATTTAAATTTGATGTATTGGGAAAAAATTATGTGATACACTTATTTTAAAAATGAGACTGAGCCATAATTTTAATACTTATGACTTTAGATGGAGAAAATTATTCATATTTGATCTGACTGTGCATGTGCAAATTGACTTGTTTAATAAGAAAATATTGTGTATATAATTTGCGTAAAATTAATGTACTAATGTTGATGGAGAAAAAGTAACACTATGATTACAAATTATAAATTAAAAACACATAATGTAAACCTTTGGGTCATATCCTTTTAAGGTCCACAATGTTATTATATGAACTCTTATATTGTAGTTAATTATTCCCGCAACAATGTTCATTAGTAATGTAAACCTTTGAACCATGTCCTTTAAAAAGAAGATAAAAGTAAAAAGAAGAAAACTTATAATAATTTTACCAAAAAAAATTATTACTGAAATTATTAAAAGTTTTGTTGTTTTTACTTTCATTTTGGTGTTATGGAATTTAACTTTCCCTCACTCTACATACTAACATTTTGAAAATGAACATATATGGTGGTCAGTTATGGAATGTGAAATTTGGGTATTGTAGGTCACTTTAAATAAGTCATTAAGGGGTGAAATCCGAAAACGGTAAAACGAGTCGTTTAAATATGAGGAGTCATTTTCCTCATGAACGGTTCGTATTTCAGAGTTAAATTCTTTACACAAGTGGGTTTTAAATATGAAAAAAGAATAATATTAATATACAACTGACAACACAGAACCCGTATTTTCATTTACGAAGCACTTACACATTTCATGAGGGATATAAAATTTATTTATGTATGCCTGCAATTACATCATTCCAATAAGCAATGATGATTTCAGATGTATGCAGTAATTAATAATGACATGATATAAAAAATTAGTATAAAAAATTTAATTATATAATTATTTATTATTAACAGAAAATAATTTGATAGGGTTTCAGAATACAATTACAAAGATGTACAATTTTTGTTTTTCAAAACAGGACAATAATCATTTCAAAATTCTATAAATAAATATTTTTAAAAATATCAATAATGGAACATTAATTAATAACTAAAAAAATAATCACATTTGACAAATTTCTTCGGTTGACTATAAAGGGCGTTCAGGCAATGTCTCAGTTGGAGATGCAAAATTATTAGTGAAGTCTGAAATTTTGACATATTTAAATTTGATGTATTGGGAAAAAATTATGTGATACACTTATTTTAAAAATGAGACTGAGCCATAATTTTAATACTTATGACTTTAGATGGAGAAAATTATTCATATTTGATCTGACTGTGCATGTGCAAATTGACTTGTTTAATAAGAAAATATTGTGTATATAATTTGCGTAAAATTAATGTACTAATGTTGATGGAGAAAAAGTAACACTATGATTACAAATTATAAATTAAAAACACATAATGTAAACCTTTGGGTCATATCCTTTTAAGGTCCACAATGTTATTATATGAACTCTTATATTGTAGTTAATTATTCCCGCAACAATGTTCATTAGTAATGTAAACCTTTGAACCATGTCCTTTAAAAAGAAGATAAAAGTAAAAAGAAGAAAACTTATAATAATTTTACCAAAAAAAATTATTACTGAAATTATTAAAAGTTTTGTTGTTTTTACTTTCATTTTGGTGTTATGGAATTTAACTTTCCCTCACTCTACATACTAACATTTTGAAAATGAACATATATGGTGGTCAGTTATGGAATGTGAAATTTGGGTATTGTAGGTCACTTTAAATAAGTCATTAAGGGGTGAAATCCGAAAACGGTAAAACGAGTCGTTTAAATATGAGGAGTCATTTTCCTCATGAACGGTTCGTATTTCAGAGTTAAATTCTTTACACAAGTGGGTTTTAAATATGAAAAAAGAATAATATTAATATACAACTGACAACACAGAACCCGTATTTTCATTTACGAAGCACTTACACATTTCATGAGGGATATAAAATTTATTTATGTATGCCTGCAATTACATCATTCCAATAAGCAATGATGATTTCAGATGTATGCAGTAATTAATAATGACATGATATAAAAAATTAGTATAAAAAATTTAATTATATAATTATTTATTATTAACAGAAAATAATTTGATAGGGTTTCAGAATACAATTACAAAGATGTACAATTTTTGTTTTTCAAAACAGGACAATATTCATTTCAAAATTCTATAAATAAATATTTTTAAAAATATCAATAATGGAACATTAATTAATAACTAAAAAAATAATCACATTTGACAAATTTTTTAATATATTAAATTAAATTAAGGTAATTTGTTAATTAGGTTACAAAATAATATATATTTTTATTTATCGTAATTGGAATTAAAAGCATGCAGATCAGAGTAACATTCATCACAATTCATTATAAAAGTTCCGAATGTTTAACAAAAAAATTATGTTAATTGACAAAACAAGTACAACAAGCCACTTTCATCTTCTCCGAAGAATCATCTTCTTGCCACAGTCATCTCAAAAACTTCAAAATCGTTGGTTAGTTAACTTCATCATCTTCATTATCATTGTTTAGGCAAAAAATTCTTTCTTTTACGGCTTAATGTTTATCATACTTCACTTAATATAAAAACCAAAACTTTACATGTTAAATTCGTCCATTTGACTGTTCTTCGTCTGTATTCCGTAATACAACATAAAAAACCATTGTTCTTCATTGCATGTATCCTTAATCATCATTTCATACATTGCATATATTATTTTTGCATTATCTGTTTTTATGTCTACGGTTTAGGGTTTATATTCGATTGTGGATTTGAACCCTTCAATTTACTTGTCTTTCTTCCTGTTGAAGACATATAATGGAATATTTTAACGACGCTGATGAGGAAAACCCACCAACACACTTTCGATCTGACGTCTACCCAAATAAGGTTAACTTATTTTATGTTAAATAAAATTAAATAACAAAATTTCATGCTATTCATAACTTATGTTCTTCCATATTTTTGTTTTGTTTTTGTTTAGGGTCGCATCTATTTAAATGCAAAATTTTACAAGTATTGGATTTGTAAAATAGAACTAGGCGAGTGTCTCATTACAGACCCACTAGGAAACTCCTTCAAGGTTTACCTGAAAAATTTATGTAAAATTGTTGGTATGTTTAACAAAGGGGTAAATGAGATGATAGATTTTTATGGTATAAAAAACAAACATATTGCTGAGTTTTGGTACAAGGGGTCAAACGAATTTAACTTGCGTATCTTTACTGCTGCTGAAGAGGAAATATCCTATCCTAAAATTAAAAACGAAATTGGCCAAAGTTCTAAAAGGTACATATAATTGCAAACCCTATATTTCATTAACTTTAATTTGTTAATTATTTTTTTATTTATTTATTAATCTACACTTTTAATTTTCTCAGCAAGGTTAATGTCCCACTTCTCCCCCCTGACAATGAGATTGTAGATTTAACAGAGGCTGATTCATCACCACCCGAAGAACAACTTCTACAATTGTCTTTTCCAACAGATCATATGCCAAGACATCCTATTCCTTAGTTTCACACTATAACAAAATCTGCAGCAACTAGAAGACAACCTTTGGTATCATTGAATTACATCATTTTTTTAAATTAACAAAATATTTTATTTCAAAAATTAATATACATAATGATGTAAATAATTGACTTTCATTATTATTTCCAGTATTTTCCGGTCAAATACTTTGATGTCTGGGGCATAAATAAATACAATTTTTGTGTCTTAATCAACGAAGATGGAGAGATGGTTCAAGCTGACATTAAAAAACTATCAACACAGCGAAACAAAAGGGAGATTTATGTTGGGAAGGAATGGGGGCAGCTTATTAAAGGCCAATGATACAACACAGGCATACGACTTAAGATTGAAAAAGTTCAAAACTTGAACTTCCTGATCCTCCATGTTAACAAAGCCTGACTTGGCCTTCTCATTTTATGCTTGTTTTATAACTGTTGACTTCATTTAAGTGCTTCTGTATGATGACATTCTTGTTTTTTTATCAGTATCCCAATTAACAATCATCACAATTTCACGCGACTTATAAAATCTACTTAACTTATTATTTTTTAATTTATATGATAATTGGTTGCTGATGTTTTTTAAAATATGTTTAGGCTTTTATATATATACTAATAATGACTAAATTGTCAAATGTCACATAACATATATCATGTTACAATTTTCATGGGCCATTGTGTTAAAAAATAATATTTTTGTAATTATTACTATGCGACATGTATAAATGTACAATAAAATTTAAACTTTTTATTTGTTATAGAAGATTTAAAAAAAAAAATCTACAAATCTACATTACAATTTAAAAACCAAAAAAACATTAAACTATTTATTTTATAAAATGTTTTGTAATTTCACTTATGTTTTTGTTAGCATAAATTTCATTTATAGTTTGCATAGCTTATACATTTATCAAAAAAATTTACAAAAATATTTTGTTTACATATCACAGACAACTTAGTGGAACAAAAATAATATTATGTAACAAATGGATTCAAATCTCTTATTTATTGTCAAAATTAAATAAATTAAACCCTAAACTTACATAAATTTATAAAAAAAAGAAAAAAATAAACTTGCAAAAAAACAATAATTCATTAATCAATAACCTTATAAAATAAATTTAACAACATAAAAAATACATCACTTTGGCTACAATAAACACAATGAATGCCAATATCACAAACTTCATTTTCCTATAATCTACAACGTCAGAATCAATAGTATTACACGCTGCCATCAAATCTTCATTAATCATTTCAACCTTACTACTAAGAACACTTAATTTACTATTCATTTCATCAACTATGTCCTTCAAATACTCTATTTCAGTGTCTCTATTCAATTTATCAACTATCCCCTTCAATTCTTCGATCTCACTCATTTTAGCTGCAACTATTGAAAGCAAATTTTCATTCTCATAAACTTCATCAACTAGGTTGCACCACAAGAAAAACTTGCAATGCTTGTTATATCCATCATAATTTCCACAACCAAAAAATTTTCTACCAAAGTTCTTAGAAGTGCTTGACATTTGAACCTTACAAGGAACTCCACAAAAACAGTTTCTCATCTTTCTATTTGGTGATAATGTAACCCTGCTACTTTCTGAAGATGCACATTCAGCCATGTTCCTAAAAAAA